AGAGAGAGAGAGAGAGAGAGAGAGAGAGAGAGGCTGCAGAGTAAGAAGTCTGGTCACCACAATTGACCTATCTAAAAACTATTTGTTGTAAGTTATCAGAAAACGAGTAGAGTTTCGGTTGAAACTCAAGATGATGTATAACAAATGCTCGTGACTTGTAGCGTGAGCTTCCAAATGAAGATCGGGTTTCGCGCAGGTAAGGGGGGCTTGAAAACAAAGGTATTGACCGTTGGGATTTCCATTCTGGGAATGCCGCGACATCATAGCGCTCAATCCCACATGTGCCACTTTGATAAAAAAGGGGGTCTTCTCCATTTCGAGTGAGGTTGAACGGTTGGATGGGGAGACTGGGAACATGTGGATTGAACGAGAACCCGAGGGTAGTATCTGGGAGAGAAGAGAAGGCGTGAAGGTGACTATTGCAGTGGGCTCTCCCTGGAATTCCTGGAACAGAGCCCGTGAGTTGACACACTGTTTACACTTGATTGGTGTGTTTGAAACTGAATCTGCAGTTTGCAGCTTACTCTTGATTGGTTCGCTTGGAACCAAGCCAGCGGACTGGCTCGCTAATTACTCTCCCTGAAATTGTTTATTTATTTGTTTGTTTATTTATTTATTTATCTCAAGGATCACACTTTTATCATATGATTTCGAAGTAGGTCTCGTTACTCAGCTTCCAGAGCGGCGAGAGAGACGGCGCAGGTAAGTGAGGGTGAAAAGAGAGTAAATGATAGTGCAGATCACTTCAGGCAGCAGCCTCTCATTGGCGGGTCAGGCAGCAGCCGCTCATTGGGGGGTCAGGCAGCAGCCTCTCATTCGCAGATCAGGTAGCGGCCTTTGATTGGGAGATCAGGTAGCATCTACTCATTGGCTAATCAAATAGCAGTCACTCATTGGCTGGTCCTGCACTCTCTTCCCATTGGCCGATCAGGCAATGGCCACTTATTGGTTGATCAGGGACTCTCTACTAATTGGGAGATCATTCGCATAGTGCATTCGCAGCAGGCATTTCAAACCCCCCCACTCCCCTGCTGGTCGCTGAGGACCTCGGAAGCAGGCGCAACGAGTGACAGGCGCTGTTGCCCTTGGCTTCAGCGAGCGGCAGGCGACCCCTCCTCGGGTTTCCTCACACCGTGCCGCATGAGCCGTGAAATTTGTGGGGTGCACAATATCCTAATCCGGCTGATGAGGAAAAGGTAGTCAACTACCTAGATGGGAAGATCCGCACGCATGTATCAGACTACTCGAGCGGGCCGTATACATCCCCCTGGTTTTGCTTTATTAAGCCAAATGGGACGTTGAGGTGGGTACAGGACTTGCAGCGCCTAAATGTTGTGACTGTTAGAGAAGCAGGTGGTTTCTCTAACGCAGATGCGCTTTCAGAGGCATGCGCAGGGAGGGTCATTGATGATTTGGCCGTGCAAGGGTCGAAGAAGAAGGATGACCGGGAGGTCATGCTGGGAATTAGACAGTTTGTCTGGGATCATGTGCAAGACTTATGTCAAATCCTGGACTTGTTAAAGGAGCATAACCTCACCGCGAGTGGGCCAAAATCCAAGCATTGCATGAGTGGTGCCACTATCTTAGGATTTGTGTGCGACGAGAGGGGTCGTCGGCCAGATACTAAGAAGACGAACAAGATTCTCGAATGACCAACCCCGTTCGAGACGATTACAGAAGTGAGAAGCTTCCTCGGCACATGCGGGTTTTGGAGAATATTTATTAAGGGGTTTGCGGCGAAGACAGAGCACCTGCGAAAGCTTGTGCGTCAAGGCCAAGATTGGGAGTGGGGAGAAACGCAGGAGGTGGTGGTAAGGGACCTGAAGAAGGAGTTTGAGGAAGGAGGACTGGTACTGGGGGTACTAGACCATGCTGTTGTAATGACCATGCCCTTTTATCGTAGAAACGGACGCAAGACCGACTGCCTTAGGAGGGGTTTTGATTCAGAAGGACCTCAATGAAGAGGAGCGACCGCTAAGATTCGAGAGTCGAACGCTTAACACCGTTGAACGAAACTACTCACAATTCAAGCGCGAGACCTTAACAGTCCTCCACTTCCTGAGGATCTTCAGAAACTACCTCTTCGGCAGCAGGTTTGTATTAAAGGTGGATCCAACTGCTCTAGCAGGTTCTATGAAGAACTATGCTCCCTCAGATCCAACCATTGCCCGATGGCTGACGTATATCTGGATGTTCGACTTCGAGTTGGAGCGAATTCCAGGGAACAAGAATAGGGCGGATGGGCTGAGTCGAGTCGACTGGGACAAGAACAATCAAGGAGTGATCGAGGATGCTCCGCCAGTCGACGGGTTCCTGGACAGCGAGGAGGATGTAAGACTTCACATCAACTCCTGGGCGTTGGCCGTGGGTAACTATGTTACTCCTGGGCAACCTGTGTGGCTTGCGCCTCCAGGACATCCACGACGGCCAGACTTAGTCCTCAAGCCCTATATTGAAGAAGATTCTTGGGGAAGGCCGGGCGTAGAATGGATGATGGAGCTGGCATTAGCAGGCAAGTACGAGCTACAGGAGGACCTGCTCACGATTGAGAGTGGGGCACTACAAGTGGGCAAGCAAGAGAAGGTGATAGATAGGATGTACCTATTGGCTAACGCGCTGCTTTAGGAAGAGGCGGTTAGGAATACGGTGCTAGATCAGGAAGAGGTGGTAGAGCCGGAAGAAGGTGACAATGTGATTCATGAAAGAGAGGATGATGACTTTGAGGAAGGTGAGATTAAAGAAGCATTTCGAGCAGAGGAATATGAGGGAGTATACCTTGAACTCGGAATGCTTCTGTCATGTGAAATGAGGGAGAGGGACGCCTGTGCGAGAGTTCTGAAAATGAGGCCAAGCTTCCTAGTAAGGGACGACCATCTGTTCATGAGGAGCAAAGGAAGGGATCCCAGGAGAGTAGTCTGCGGCGTCGCTCGCCAGATTGACATTATGGCGACACTGCACGACGGTACGGCAGGTGGCCACAGAGGTGCAGATACGACATACCTGAAGATCCACGAGTTGTACTATTGGGATGGCATGGGGCAGATGATTGATGACTATTGTAAGTCTTGCGTGCCATGCCAGGAATGATCTGCTCTCAGACCCAGGGAGCCGCTGCACCCAAGGTACGTTCGTGAGGTTGGAGCAGTCGTGCACTTGGATCTATTGGCAATGCCGTTGGGGATAGGGAGCTACAATTTCATCTTTGATGCACGGGACAACCTCTCGGGGTTTGTGGATGGCAGGGCCATTCGCACGAAGACTGGAGAGACATTGGCCCGATGCATCGAAGAGTACTATCTTCGCTACCCCTTTGTGTCTAGATTCGTGATGGATAGAGGGTCCGAGTTCACATGTGCAGAAGTGAAGGCTCTTTTGAAGAAGTAAGGGGTAATCGCTGAGTACACAACTACAGCGCACCCTCAAGCCAACTCACCTGTGGAAAGGGGACATAGCACCATCACAAATCTTCTTGCCAAGTGGACCGATGGCAGACCCAACCAATGGCCAAACTTTCTAAGGGTCGCGTTTTTCGTGGATAACATCACTATCAGGAGGAGCACTGGCTATGCACCGGCTACGCTATGGTACGGCAGGCATGCGACATTTCCCATTGAAAGCTTCCTGCAAACTTGGAGGCGACAGGACCTCGAGACTGATCTGACCTTTGAGGAACTGCTGGATTTGAGGGCACGACAGATCGGCGCTATTGAGGACAGGATTGAGGAGGCAGCAAGTAGAACCGCGGACAGCCGTACCAAGGACAAGCTCCGGTGGGACAAAATGGCGAGGGTAAGAAAGGAGCCTTTCAAGGTGGGAGACGTTGTGCTGTTGTACGACTCGTCCCTGGAAAAGCAGTGGTCGCGGAAGTTGGATAAGAGGTGGTTGGGGCCTTACAGGGTCACCAGATGTGGTGAACATGGTGCCTACCAAATCGAAAAGCTGAATGGGACGGCATGGAAGGACTGGGTGTCAAGCTCGAGGCTAAAGAAGTTCGTGGCTCGAGACGAGGTGAGCAGGAATCCCACCACTTAAAGTCATCTAGTGGCTACTTCGGGTGCTGCCCTCAGTAGAATAACGTGTTGTGGTTAGACTTGCATGTGTGTATGACTATGTATGCGTATGTGTGTGTAGGTAGGTAGTTGAGATAGGTGTGGGGAGGGTTATGTCTGTCTCCTGTTGTGTTTTGTCTGACATCGCTTACCCTCTGTGTGCTTCTGTTCGCCTCTTCCCTGTTGTGCAGGCTTGATACCGCTTGGGGCAGCCATGCCAAGAGGGAGGGGAGGGGCAGGGCCAGTGGAAACCCCTTTGGGGGCAAYCCGACARAGGACGCARATGAGGACCMRGAGAGAGGACAGGCCTCCAGTCTTCYAGGGAGGGAACATTGAGYTGTTCCTGATGGAGTTCGAGCRGCATGCRAGAGAGTTTGRATGGGACAGCACCAGGATGTTGAGAGAGGTGCGAGGCACAGGCGAGTGGRCGGACCCTRTTGCTAAACTGGTCAGAGAGTCGCTGAGCTGGCAAGACTTTGGACGGAGGATGRAGGGYTTGCATYCGTCACCACTKGGAAGGGATGGACAGCCCATTCGATTCGACTCCACTAATCTGGGGGAGTTCTTATGGGCTTATGATCGATATGCGGATGAGCTCTGTATCCCAGGAGAGCAGAGAGTGGGGAGCTTCCTGTTGTTTGTAAGACACCATATCAGACCCTTCGTACGATCCATGGTGGCATCTGCCATGAATTGGGGCCACTGCAAGAAGCTGTTATGGAACTATTATACTCCAGCTCGTCAGGCAAGTGAGAGGAGAGGTGTGGAAAAAAAGAGAAGGGAACCTGAGACAGAGGCAAGGGGAACCTTTGAGCAGGGCGCGTCACCAGGGGCTCAGAGGGAGGAAAGGAGGAAGGAACACAAGTCCCACCGACATGAGAGAGCAGAAGGGTCCGATGGTTCAGATGCACCTCCACAACCTGCTCAGAGGGAGATGGATGGCCCCATGCCTGACGCAGAGCCAGACATCCCTCACGAGCCGCATACGCAAGAGTTGAGGGAGGAACCGTCTGTTGATGAAAAGGAGCTGGACAGAGAAGAGAGGGCAGCAAGGGAGCTGGAGATCAGGACTCAACTCCGAAAGAAGAACCTGGCAGAACTGCATGAGAGGATGCAGCAAGGAAAGGCGCCTGAGGAGGTGGAGGACAGAAAAGGAAAGGGTACCTGCACTCAGGAGGAGGACCCTCCTCTCTTCTCAGAGGTCTGGATGGGCTTTGATAAGCTGATGGACGCCACAGGAAGATCAGGTGGACAACATCAGGAGATGGGGGTTAAGTTGGTCTCTACAGACCTGCTCAACCTAAGGAGCGTGATGAGAGAAGGCTTCGCTGCAGCAAGGACCTCAGATCAGAAGATTGGGGACAGGCTGACAAAGGTGGCACAAGAGGCTTATGGCCAGAGGGTGGACTGGGAGAGAAAGGCTGGGGACCCGAAGAGAGAACTAGACAGACAGGGCAAAGAGTTGGCAGCAGTAAAGGCAGACATGGAGAGAGTCTCAACAGAGAATGAGGTCGTCAGACAAGTCAATCAGACCCTTAACAAGGTCACTGACGCTCTGAGGGCCTATTTGTGTGCACAAATAACCTTCTTCCAGGTTAAGGAGACTGAGTGGGAGAAAAGAATTCGAGACCTCGAAGCCAAGTGTGCCCAGCAAGCCCCCACTAGAGTGATGGATTGGACAGAGGTCCAAAAGTTCGAAATCAGGGAACAGCCTGTCGAGGAAGTCTTCAAGAGGGAGAAGGAAATAGAGAAGGCTGACCAGCAGGAGGGTGAGGAGATCCCTCTGATCGACAAAGAGATGTTGGAGCAACCAGGAGTGCTTGTGGAAAAGGGTGCCGAGGTCGCAGAGTTTGAGTGGAGGTTACCTGCTGGCCTGACACGGGGACATGAGCCGGCAGTACCACAGGAGGGACCACCGGTTGAGGCAATGAGAGTTGAGGAGGCTCCACCTACTATTCGGAAAGAGACTGTGGGACAGCAGGAGGGTCAGGAAAGTGTGGGCCAGACCATGGCTGAGACTGAGCAGAGAGTGGACCTGAGGGACTGTCAGGAGTCAATCATGCTTCAGGAGGTGCCAGTTGTTACAGATTTGCGGGGTGTACAGGGATCTTGGGCTACGAGTTCTGGGCCGAGCGACGGGTTGGTGAGCAGCTGATGCCAGCAGATGACAAAGCGGCCTGCCCCGCTTCCTCAGAGGTCCCACGACAGGAGGTTACAAGCAAGATCTCAACAACCCCGTCATCTGTACCCTCGCTGGAAGGAGAGAAGATGCCCCAAAAGAAATTTGGCAAGTGCTTTTATTGCAAGAGGGGCAAACATCGATCAGACGACTGCCCCAAGAGCCTCAAGGATGGGGCAGATGGATTGTGTACCAGGGAATCGTCTGGGGTATGGAGAGATAGAGATGGAAACCTAGTTCCTAAGACTCGTGATGGGGTGAGGGCGCAGTTGTATAGGCAGCTGCAGGAGGTCATGAGTGATCAGGAGTAGGATTTTCCAATAAGGTYCGGAAAGGTCTGAGTCTGACATGTGCGGGACTTCTCWRACTCACAGACTGGTGASTACTTRTATATRRAGAGATACGTGGAGGRTTGGATCAGACCCATGTACATCAGTAGACTGAGCCAGTAGTGAGATGTTACGCCGTGTTATAGACTTGAGAACCTTTTCCTGTACATAAGATAACGCTGAGTATGACATTGACGATTTTTTCTTTTTTTTTCGCTAATGTGATGTAGAGTGTTAACGTCCTTATAGAATAACGCTCATGAGTGTGGAGCGGCCGTCGAGTTCCGATACTTCGACGCTTGACTACCTTGATTCTTTATGGGATACCTGAACTCCTTGTATAATATTTTAAGTTCTATAATAAGGACGGGTGCCTTTGCACAGTGCGGGGCCCCATGTCTTGGGTGTACATGCGAGTCTCAAACCTTGTCTTTGTGTTGTGTGTGGTGTGTCACACTCACTCTCGGTTTGTGGACTTGCCCATATGGACGATGGCGTGATGAGATGAATACTGTGGAATGAACTGATTTGCGTTTCTTCCACTGTACTTACGCCTCCCTGTCCCCATGACAAGTGAAGCCAGGAGTATAATGGAAGGAAGTGTTCTCAGATTATGGAGACAATGATGACATGATGTATTTTGCCCAGATAATGATGAATGGAAAGGTCACAACTAAAAGTTGTGTGTTTTTGTGTATGATTGAAAAAGAAAGAGGGACGTCCAATGACCGATTGAACTTTCTTAACAGGATGAAATTTTGGGAGAGCGCTCAAAAGAGTCGCTATAAGTGATGATTATGTTTGTATGTATATCAAAGTTTGACGAGGAAAGACTAGATATTTTAAGAAAATCATACTTGGAAATTTCTGGCAATTATGTTGGAACTTGGAGAATATTGTGAGTATCCATAAAAAGACGCGTGACCTCACCTGCTTCTGATCAGAGTAAGGGAGGCACGACCCTGTGGAATTATCGAGGATTTTTTTATGGAATATTGAGAAGGGCACTATCCCTCCACGTAGTACCGTGGGCAGCGGTATGTGATCCTTTGCTTGTTGTTGTGAAAGAAACTGTCAGACCACATGGGTCAGTCTAAGGGACGTATTGTGGGGTCAGGCTAAGGAGCTATACTTAGCATCGCTGGAACTGTAGAACCTAACTCCCAACGAGGACCGCTGACCAGCACAACCTGGCAGCGGGACCATGACTTGCCGAAGGTTAAGTCTTGAAGGGTCGGCCACCCGGAGAGGTTTAGCTGGAGGAGAGGTCATTGGGGTCGATTAAGTCAAGAGTCAGGACCCTTCTGGGTGCCAAGATAGGAAGAGTTGCTTATCGTTGCGTAACCAACGAGGGCACCATCGCTACATAACAACGCGGTGGGTCGTGGATTCGGCGTGATCGACCGGTCCATGGTGGGCCAAGATGGAGACTTGAGGCCGCCTGTGTTAGACTCCAGGCTGGACGTTCGTGTGAGTTGAGATGGTAGATACTACCATGTGGGCGGCTGAAAGCGCCTTGTGTTTTGAGAGGTCTCGGTTGGGGCCCGCGTCCTAAGTTATGTCCCCGTTCGCAGGATGATGATTAAATAGGACACCCAACGGTGAACTGGCAGAGGTCTACAACGAAGGGAGAAGACTATCAACCTACTACCTGGGAGCGAGTAGTACGCTGTAGTACGGAACAAAGTATCCCCTAGCTCCGAGGCCAGGACGTGGGAGGCCGAGGTTGAAACCCTGGCAGTGGAACGTCGTGACGGGAGCAGGTTGATAAGACAACCTCAAACGGAGTCGAGCCGGTGAACCGGATTGGTCGCTTCCTTGTCAGCAAGATGTGATTGCGCGTATAGCCTTGATTTTTCGACGCGACGGGGACGTCGCTTAATAAGGTCCGAAAAACTCTCGGCCCGAATACCCTTACAAGGGTATTTGGGCGCGGTTTCGCAACTCACAGGACGAGCGCGCCGGACAATATCTGGGGGCACGCCCCATTTGCGTTGATTAGAGAGTGTCTGAGCATGCACTTTGCGGGCACTCATTAGCCTGACCGAGTCTGCGTCGAGGAAGACCATGAGACGCCGGTAGAACCGGTCAGAGTTAAGCTAGACTTTTGGGGGCGGTCGCAGCCTCGCGCGCATAGACGGAATGTCGGACAGCGTAGAGTTGACCGGGTAAGACAGCAGCAAGGAGGAAATATTACCCGACTTATCGAAAGCCGACATTCTGGGTATGCCGCGCCGCGTGAAGGTGYGCAAGCACTAAGTTTGGTAGTGGACTATCGAAGGGTGGGGTTGTCAGAGAAACCTMGGAAAGATGATGCGCGCCAGGGGTAGTAGGGACTAAAGCCGAGGTGCCGGCAAAAAGGCGGTGAGAGGGCGGCCGAGGTAGGCTGTAAGAGCCTTGGGCCGTGGCCACGGCATGGTAAGGCAGGCTGCATGGTGGGCCGAGTAGAGCCTTGCCCCAAGGCAGCCAGTGCGGCTTTGCAAGGCCTGAACGGCAGGCTGTAAGTCAGTCGATGGCCCATAGTACGCTGTTGCAAGGCAGCCTAGCTGAAGATACTCTTTATAGGGCAGTTGGCCTGCAACTATCCCAGGTTGGGGCTTAGCCCTATTGGTTATGGTGTCGAACTCTCACCAGGCGGATCTTGGGATCGAGGCCAGCAGCAGGCAGCGGAGGAACAGGGGAGCGCAAGAGGATCGAGGGGTTGAGGGTCTCGTGGAACTATTTCCCTTGGTTTTTGCTGGGAAGTCCGGTGGCGGGCCCCCGAGATGGGACGAGTACCAGCGACCCCCACCCGTTTTTCCTTTATTAACCTTTTTTATTTTTTGTTTTTTTCGAGTTTTAAATTTTTATTTTTTATCTTTTTCCCATTTTTTAATATTTTTGGGACGGGGCTCGGTACCGGTGCCGAGACCCGCGATGAGACCCAGCAGCTGGTTCAGTGGGTACGCCACGAACGACTGCCTGGGCATGCTCCTTCGGGACATCTGTTAAAGTTGGAAGGATACAGAGAAGATTAGCATGGCCCCTGCGTTAGGACGGCATGTATAAAGCCGGGGCACGGCCCGTCATTGGTGCTTGCTGTGGCGCTCGTCGATGCCTATCCCGTCTGTCCAACTGGTCGTTGAGCGCTACGCTGTAGAGGCAACGGGGGAGAGCTGAGGGAGGACTAGAGGAGGAGGGGAGAGCGCACGAGAACGCTGCACGACGAGAGCAGGGACAACAGTAACAGAAGAATGAACCTGGACTGGGGTCTGCACCGGGTACATTCAGAGAGAGGGGAGGCAGATCGGTACGAGGGATGAGCTATGGTAGGGWTGAAGGRTGCATGTTYCACCTGTTCCTTGATGAACGTCAGCGGGGGAAGGTGGTAGACAGSGGTTTTTGGATTAGGCGAACACAAATCTATGGTCAGTTTYAGYAGGGAGTTGSTGGAAGTGAAGCTGGACAGAAAAATTGGTGCGCGGGGCTATGGCGGAGGGGAGAAGATGGGAGATGAAAGTGGAATAAGYCGGCCGTTTCTTGGCCGTTTTTAGCGATCTAAGATGCTATTCCGGGGTTTTGGGGTCAAGCGAACCCAGATCCAACGTTAGTTTGAGGAGAGAGTTAGTAGATTAAGAGCTAGCAAGAAAATGAGCCGCGCGGGAGTGTCGAAGAGAGARGGGAGACGAAGGACAAGGAGGAAAAACGCTGTAATTTTCTCATTTCTTGGTGAAATTGAGCGGGGGAAGATGCTATATGGGCGTTTTAAGGCATTCTGAATCAGATGGACAYGTCGAAGTTTGAATCTGAGCAGTGGTTTGGTCGGTAAGGGAGATTGGGGCTGCGCCACTATGGCTGAACGTTTGGAGCCGGCCATCAAATTTTTCTATTTTTCTAGCGGAGGACCATTTCTCGTTTTTCTGYCCATGGTGTGATATCTATCCAGGCGTTTAGTTCCCGTGTCCGTTATCAGCACCCAGTACACCCTCTTCACCTCCTTGTGGTGATTRGGTTTMTTGTTTCCAAGCAACYGTCTTCACGGCCCATCCARCTCCTTTACGGTCCATGCTRGTTTGYTGTGGYTGCAATCCCTGAACCTGGCCACTATTTCAGCCAGGCGTCGTAGACAATGAGAGACATATCCAGGAGTGGCTTCGTTTCATATCAATACTGGCCAGATATAGAAAAAATAATAGTATTAGTAACCAGTGTTATAGGGAGGAGTGACAGACAAGGAGGAGAAGGTCCGTAAGAAGAATTGAGAGAGTTGAATAAGTAGGGGAGTATTAAGGGGGGGGGATTATATGTATCTAGACACTGAAGCAAGGCTACGTGCAAAAAGGAGGATGTAGTAGCAGGAAAAAAAAAAAAAAAAAAAAAAAAAAAAAACAATGACTCTTTCGAGGTTCTAGGGGAGGGGTGATTTGCACTAACTCAAGTTTCCACAGTAGTAGTACCAGCATCGGGAGAGGGATTTCACTGTGCCCCCACTGAACACCTGGTTGTGCCCATGCGACGCGTGTTGTTGTGTACTCCACGAAGGTACTGCGCTAGACCGTCGTTGTGTGTCTCTGTGCATCGTTGTGGGCTGTCGTGCCCTTGCTGAAAGGACTGCATTAGGTCACCTTTGATAACTTACGGCCTGTTTGAATATTGTAGTGACGAAATGTAGTGTGGCCTGTGGAACCACGAAGGGCATGGCAGATTCCCATCCCAAGGCAGCAAAGAATTTTTTTTCTTTT